ATTTGTCCAGTTGCTAACATTCGCGGATAATAAAAAATAACATAATAATAATAATAATAATAATAATAATAATAATAATAATTTTATAATATAACATTTACGGATATTATAAAAATGGGAGTGAGAGACATCTATAACTGAAATCGGCAATTACTTAGTTGCATTACTTAGTTGACATAACCTTGACATAACCAATATGTCACGGGTGTTTATATCATGCGTTTTTCAGGTCCTGCGCTAAGTGGTACGTTGGTGAACAGCATCGGATTCGAGTGGATGCTATTCGGTATAGCGGTCTTAAATTTCCTTTACGCGCCATTGATGTATTTCTTGAGAGCTCCGCCGACGAAAGAAGAGAAGAAGGTAATTGACCAGATTTCAAATCTAGATCTGGAGCTATAACACGCTGTAACACGCTTCATGCAAACGATCTACGTTGCTCGCAATTGCGACAACACGCGACAATTAGCGACCATTACGTTTCAGTCCCTGATAATTGGCGAGAAATCGTCTGTGCGCTACGTAACGTACCAGAACGAGGAAGAGGAGCAATAGACGCACGACCTTTCAACGAACAATTTTCCATTTTCGTCATTCTCGGAGGAACCACCGGCTGGACGCAATTCGCCAAATTTTTCCATTGATTATCGATTACTCGGCGCCTTTTCATCGAAGAGGTTGAATCAGTCAGGATGACGGAGCATGCTTTCTTCTTGTTGTTGAAACTCGATGTTCGTCTATAAGTAATTTACCAATGTGGTCGTCTCGCGGTAACGCGTGGATCGCGTGTACCAACAATCGCTGTTTAAATCAATTTGTTCTCTTTTGATTCTCGACGATCAAAATATTAGCAGCACCGTGCTCGAAAACCGGGCTAAAAACCGAACCGAAAAGAACCGTCTTGGAAAAGCGTTTGTAACTTTTCCATCGTTCCAAGAAAAAAAAACAAAATGTAGAACAAGCTGTACCGGAATCATAGCGACTCTCAATATTGCGAAAAGTTATATCCCAGTTAATCTCTCGTTCAACGCAGATTGTATATAAATATGTATGTAGTTGCGTGTAACGGGATAGACGGTAATAACGAGTGCGTGCGTTCCAAAGCATGAATCGCGTCGACAGGATAATCAAAATACAGGGAACGTATTGTGCGCGTTGCGTGTCGATCGAGTTGTACGTTTGATAATTAGAACGCGTTCGATCGGTATTCGATCGTTGGATCGTATTCGATGGTCGATCGAATGTCGCCGATGACCTCTCGCGACGGAGCCGCGGAGAGCCCGCTCGAATTGTTACAGCGAGACCATTAACGAACGGAGAACCGCCTAATTAGGATTCCCTGAATGGCTGCAGGGAAACCGGTAGCGAAATCAGCGATTAGGCAGGATGAAGAGTTCTCCAAAGCGTCCTTCCTCGAATCTTGTGTATCCGTCCCGAGAACCGAGCTTTCGCGATTTACAGGTTCCACGCGAATGATACGGCAGACCTGGTGTTCCTTTCTTTCTACTTTGGTTCCTAAATTGATATTGCTTGATACGCGCGATCGACAATTCCCTCGATAACGATCCACGATCGTTGCGAGTAATACCGGTGTTCCTGAACACGCTTGCGTCGAGCGTTCGTCGAATTTGCAAATCACATAGAAAAACACGTACATGTAAATTCGGGCCGGTCAACTCGCACGAACAAGCAATTTACGCTTCCTTTACGTTGGCGCTGGATCTCGGACGAGTTCGTATATTCCTACACTCGTTATACTATTATGCATAGCACGATATATGACATACGATATGATATACATAGAACGGGTTGTAGTATAGTATGTTTGCGTAACGGACGAACACGTTAACACATATATAACGCGTACACTTCTTTCTCCGATAGCGATAGTCGCAAGCATGGTAGTTCAAATCGTTGTAGAGCCCTCGATATTATAGTCTATCTGTTAAAAAGGCGAAACTTTTCCGGAACCATTCTAATGGTTTCATTGTAATGTAGTGTCGATCGCGGTCGAGTAGATAAGTCCGATCGTACGGGTCCTAAGCTACTGCGAATGCATACCAAGCTACAGCGAACGCATACAAAGAAGCTGTACAGGAGAAGATAAAGCTTTACTTACGTTATAGCGTGATAGGGTCGACTATAGAAAATAGTATTGTTAAACGAAAAAAAAAAAAATAACGAGTTGATAGACGCACACTGTGTAATGTAGGATATCTCCGTAATGGAATTGTACTCGTAAATAATCTTATGAAAATTATATAGAACGCTGGTAGCGTCATTTGCACCCGAAACGGTGCATTAGCGTAGTCTCCGGGATCCATCGCGATTTTCATCCCAGGAACAATAACGTGCTCGGATGAAAAGCGAAGAGGAAGAAAAAGATGAAGTCGAGATGAGAGGAGAGGAAATAGAAGAGAACAGCTGGTCGAACGCTATGGCACGTAACGGGGCGATCTTTGAAAACGGGAAACCGATTTTGATAGGAAATACGATTACGTGTGTAGAGTTCCGCCGCGAATTCGATGCAATCCACGAGGTTGTGTCCGTTACGACACACCTACTCCCGATGAAAAGAACGAGTCAATTCGATCTGCAAATTCGTCACGAACCATTGACCCACGCGTATTCATCGAGAAAACGCGGAAACCGAAGAAGGAACAAGGCACACGCGGCGCGAACAGTACGAGAAATCTCGAGCGATTTTTAAAATCGTGTAATCTTCGAACGAAATCAAAGTCGCCATGTGTTATAGGGGGGTAAAGAATCGCACCAAGAAACGACGAATCGCCTTCGTTGCTTCGTCATAATGTTACGCTGTCCACTATATTCTATTCTATATTCTATTCTATTATAACTTATGATATATGTATATCTATATGTATGGTGCGGTGCACTCGCGTCAAGAATCCTTCGGATTTCTGTAAATACCGAAAAGACATACGTACATATATGTATTCTACGTGTTTGGGATTATAGCGTAATGTAGCATGTCGCGTCTATTTATTCGGGCCAACTGTCTTGTTGGTAATCGTCCACGTTTTCATCGCTTTGTTTCCGTTTCGTTCACGATCGTACGATTTGACTTTCACTTTATCGGTAGCTGTACGATGCAAAGTGTCGAGAACGCGATAGATGGTACCGTTGAAAGAAGATACCTCTGTTTCCTATTTTATAATGCGAATCGGTACGATCGACCCTGATCTCCAAACAATATCGAATCTGGATTAAGCGATACATATACACTACTGTGTACTGTACACGATTCTAATATGCTTTTCAATGTATCCTCTTTGTGTAGCGCGAAGAAAACTCGAAGAAAACCTTAGCGAATAATTTGTCGACAGCTGCTATTGTGAACAGACAATAAGCAACGATGACGGAAACGAACGATCGTTTTCTCGTTACCGATAATATAACGTTCTCATCGAAGAAATTTAATGAATCTATGTAGCTACACCGACCAACGAACAAACAAACAAAACGAACGAACGTCGATCCTATTTAATCGTTTCTGTACGTACGCGTCATTTGATTTACAGCTCGTTTCCTATGATCGTAACGTAAATACTTAATCAGCTGGTGTATGGGTCCGATACTTAATGCCTGTGTAGTTGTTCAAAGACAACGAGATTTGAGAAAAATAAAGATGTCCCTTGTATTAGATAAACGATGCTGTCAAAGTGAGCGAGTGGTGTGAGAAAGCGGATTCGAATGCTAGGGAAGATCATTGAGACCCGCGGGTATCGGATTCGAATTATTCTGGAAGTTTTTTTGGTGTCTAATATTCTCGAACGATATTCAAAAGTTTGACCAATATATATTTTCGTTTCATTTTTGCATCTAGCTTTATTTCGACGAATCAACCAGCATTAATCAACTTTACTCTTAATGTAAATGCGTTCTACATTCATGTGTGTATTGTTCGATATATCGTGTATCGCACCAATAAACGTGTTTCGCTCGAGGATTCGAACATTCTATTACACGTGGAATAATATGTATAACGGTACAACTATATGTGGACAGGAGCAAAAGGATCTTATTCTTATGTCATCGATATTGGACAATTCCCTTTCTGTTCCTGTACAATACTATATTATTTAATTACAGTACGAAATATTCTTACAATAGATATACAATTCATAGATATACAATTTCTTTCGTTTATTCTCTAAATATTCAAGTTAGAAAAATATTTCGTTAAAAGATAGTGTTATCGGTAATTGTAGCACGAAACTCTTGTTTGTATTAAGATCATACGCTACGATACGATACGGTACGGTACGGTACGATACTATACGATACGATACGACACGATACGACACAATGCGAACGGTAGAACGAAAAATCGTGTGGCACCGCGAATTGGTTTACACTTGCAATTAACTTGAATGATGAGCAACGATATTTTACGTTTATGTCCGAGCTCGTGCTACCGAATATGTAATTTCAATGTTAGTATCGTCACATCCGCGCGTACATGAATATAAACATATATTTCATTCTGTGAATCGCAACTCGATTAATATATATTTTATTTACTTATTTTTATTCCGATTACCTTTTCAACTCATTTTATTTGCCGCCCGAAAGACGCCGAAATTTTAATTAACTGAAATAATAGTTGTCACTGTTACCGACGATCCAAAAAATCAACCAAAATAATCAAATAATTTAAACGATCCATGCGAATCGATCTCAATCTGCCTGATCAGACGAATAAACCAAATAAGCGAAATGAAACGTAATTACCGTGTTTATCATGTTCACCACGAGAGTTCATGAGATAGGATATACCGGCAAAAGTCACTAAATACTTAATCGGTTTAGGCGTGACGTTACAGAGAAACTCGTAATGTCTCTTTCGTGCAGCTGTATCGCAGTATCCTAGAAATATATCAACCTAGCATCTTCCGGATTCTGTTCCACTGGACAGTATGGACATTTCAATCTGAAAGGAAACCGATGATTTTTTTCTCGAATTTTTGACTGTCGTTTCGTATTATCGTTTTTCTATTCGATTACGTACTTGTTCGCGTTGGTGAGTTTGTTCAGCGCGTCTCTCGAGATCACATGACCGCAAGCCAGCTTCATAGGTGGATTATTCTCCGTGCTCTGTTGCCGTAAAATCGGACATGCGAACACAGAATGGTAACGACTCTCTTTGCCCAAATCTATATCGATCTGTACATAGAAAGATTCGTTTGAGTGACACAAGCAAACGTAAGTCGACGATCCATGAACGACCACAACGTGTCGACGATAACATATACTTACGGGTAGCTCGTCTTTTCCGTTCCACACTCCCGTTACTTGTCTTTGTTGCATTACTTGCTTAATATTCAATAGCGTAGGCAACGCAGTACATCCCGCGTTAATGCTATAACGGAGAACATGTTTCTAACGACCCGGGCACCTTCCAAACTCTAATCTTAGCGAATCATAAAACACGTACCAGACCGAAAGTGGGCTGTCGACACTCAAACCCAATAACGTGCAAGCCTCCCGCGTGAAAACGTCGTGGATATCAAGCCATAAAGTTGGATCTAATAAATGACTATAAGGGGAGGATTGTATCCCATTTGGCAAGTAAAGTAGCGTACCCATTAATGCTTGTACTTCTTTCCCATGACGTCCGACGTATTGCGTAAAGTTTTGTCGGGCGTACATTATGGCTTCAGTTTGTTTACTAGGTCCTTGTTGAACCAACTTTATGAAATGTAATCTATGCAGCTGAAATTCCAAGGACGAATTCTACGACGACGACCGCGTGTTATTCTTTGCTAGAAATGTTCCAAAAGTTGCATGTAAAGCCACTCATACCTGTGCTAAAAGAGCATCTCTGTGCTTTTTAGCCCACTGAAGTGCTGGATCTAGATCTCTCTGCTTCAGACAGTCAAGTATATAATTTAATTCTGTGAACGGTTCTCCTGTTCCTTCGTCTGTTATGATTCCAGCTTCCTATAACAAAAATTAAATATGATTCTATGCATACAGCATATCCCAATGGATGTGTAATTTTGTATATGGGTACCGCTGCTAATTCTGCTGCAATATCTAGCATTCCATGACGATAGAAATGCTGACAAATCACTTGATTCAGCATGTGTGATTTCTCTGGACCAGAAAAAACGTCTTCTCTGCTAGTACTTGCAAAATCTGCGATGAAATTCCTATCGATGGCTTTCCCAACTTTCGACACAGTACTATGCAGTTCCCGATGTTCGGTTGCCAAGTGATGTGCGGTCTCTCGGACCTTTTTCATCGTGTCTTTCAATACTTGTGCCTGACCTGGTGTTAACTCATGATCGGACGGTGCTGACAAAGAAGAAACGTCATCGCTATTAAATTGGAATATCATAATTCTAAACGAATTATCTCTTCTACGATTAATTCTTCATTCAAGAATTTTCACGAATGGCAACTTGCTTCGCAAGAGATTTTAATTTACCGCCTCGACAAAAGAGGTTAGGGACGTATGAAGAGAAACAAGATAAAAGTGCAAGGTTTGTATGATTCATGGATCAAAATAGGTCGATTTTACAGTATCAATGCATCCTTAGATATTCGTACTAACATAATATTAAATGTTTCTCTGCGTACGTCGCGGTTATTATCGATATCAACATCTCAGCAGAGTTTGACTCTTCGCTCGACGAAATGTCATTGATACATAGCGCGTTAGCCATTAATATTTTACCTTCTTCGAATTCTTTTTTTAGAGACTCTATATGATTTATTAAATCTCGCAGTACTGTCTCCGCATGCTCGTTTATCGCACCAAATTTTAATAAAACTTTGTCAACTTCACGCTCAACCGCATTACACGCCTCCATTATTGTTTTTCCTGGCTGATATCGCGTCACTACTTGTCACTTTTGCTTTATGCACGAATCACATGCCATATAGGCTTTCCCAGTCTCACACCCGTAGACACTGAAGTGCGCATCCGCGCGTCTCGCTCGCTACTGGCTACGCTACAAAAGAGAGCACCCTGCACGCGACACGGCCATGGCCGTCATGCGACATGCATGCGCACCATGCTCGTCCAATTCATATCGATTTCGGATCACCGTGTCAGTTTGCCTCTTTCATGAAACATTTCGAAAATAATACGCAAAAAAAAACACATGGAAGTTTAATGAAAATATAACTAACACGAATTTATATATATTTCACTTATTATCTAGTTTTATTATCGTGTTAAACGTCTTTACATATATTACATATAGTTCATATCGAATAGCGCAATGTACACACGATTTTTAAAATATATTTGCATAACCAAACCAATGATTTGACAACAATGAAATGATGTCGCCATTTGTAATACTATCTTTTGTATGTTTTGAAATGTTAACTTTATGAACAAATCTTCATGTTAACTTTTATGATCAGATCTTTCAACGTGCATGAGTATCTAAATGATCAATTTTCATTTTGATCATATAATTTTATCTACAAATTATTATCATAAACAATAACACATTATGTTTATGGAATCACTAGAATATTTTCACTTGAATACTATTCCTTAATTCCTAGAGATTACACTTAAAGATCTTTGTTGCTCTGCAAAAAATATGCCAAAGTTATCAATTGGTTATTAATATTTCAGTATTAATATTTACCCATTCGCGAGCCATCATGAGAATTGTAGTGTTGGATAGTTTTGGTCCGATGAGTGGATTCATTTGTGCCATGTAGCAACATAACCAGCTACAAGAACAAAATTTTTTTTATCTCGTTTATAATATGAATTGAGAAACACAATTATGGGAAAAATTTGTTGAAATATTTTTAATTCATTTTATTCAACTTACAATAACCAACATGTGAAAGCTGTCAACATAAGGATAACCTGAAGAATTCTAGAAAAAAAAGGGTTATTTAACACGCAAATCTTATTGTGACAATAACAATGATGTTTTCGTTACTTTTCATTATGTTCCGTAATTTGAATCATTTTCGGAATATATAAATTCTTACAGGAGAAGTAGATAAAACAATAACATACCCCCGATTAACGCCTTTCGGAACAAAAATGGGTAATACGATTCCCACTACGCCCCAGAGTGCAGTAAAAAATAATATTGGTAACAGCGATGCTCCCATTTTATTGAATTGTTTCTTTAGTAATTTAACAAATGGGTTGAGACCACCACGAAATCGACAGTATTGACAGAAATGTGAATCGTGTAAATACGAATCTCGATTTTTGTCAGTAATTCGATAGGTCGTACACATATCTCGACTAAACATGCTTCGAGATACAATACGATAAGATGCAATTATTCGATAATCGAAAGTGATCGAAGTAAGACTCGAGTGTACAAATTACAGCTACATTTATCGATACCAAAATTATTCAAATTTTAAAATAGATAGCGAAAAGTAATATTGATTTCTTTTCTTGTTGGAGGAATAAATTATTTCATAAACTGTTTTATAAGAAATATTGTAGGCCATTTTATTTTAACGATTTAAATGCAAATAACTATATTTCACATTTTTTGTTCCGAAGAGTACACTGAAATCGGAACTTGACAAAATAAGTCATTAAGTTCTTGCTACATCATAAAAACCCGACATGACATATATATATGCTTAATCTCCAAATAATTTCTTTTACGTTACTTCTGCAGCGTGATTAAGCCTTGAAACATCGCCGTAACTTTTTGACGTTTCAACGATCGATGGCCCGTCTCCTCCTCCGATCGAACATTGATCTATTTGACGAGTTGTTATTTCCGATTGAATTTCAATGGATTCAACCGATGGCTTTGTCATTCTTGTAATCGACATTTTACTTTTGTTCGACGCATCGTCGTGTGATTTGTCGGAATGGGATTTCGATATAGTCGTATTTAAAGTCGCGCAAGAAGTTACAAACTTTTCCAAAATATCTAAAAATTTCAACACATCGATTGGCCGGTCGCTATTCACAAAGTTGACGTGTTAATGCATTTACAATGCGTATGCAAATTACCTGTCAAGTTAATACTTTCTTCGGCCAAGCAAATATCATCTTGAGAACTGATACTGTCTCTGCTAAAAAGGTGTTGTCTAACATTGGACAAATTTCTGGTCTTTAGTTGGGCGGTTTTTGTTGATCGATCAAGGGAATCATTTCTATGGGGTGTTTTATACATGACAGAACGTTCTATTCGCATTTCACGACCCTTCTTGATGTACGGTATCAGACACGATAAATTTAACTCCGTCCTACAAACGCTGTTTGCAGTTTGTATGGATAATGGAGACTTGTAGTTGCTCACTAAAAAAATATAGGAAGATGTAATGAGCATGCGCAGCAATCGTATGCTAAGTTTATTACAAAACAAAGGTATTCACCTGTGTAGGGTGTTCGTATGNAACCAACATGTGAAAGCTGTCAACATAAGGATAACCTGAAGAATTCTAGAAAAAAAAGGGTTATTTAACACGCAAATCTTATTGTGACAATAACAATGATGTTTTCGTTACTTTTCATTATGTTCCGTAATTTGAATCATTTTCGGAATATATAAATTCTTACAGGAGAAGTAGATAAAACAATAACATACCCCCGATTAACGCCTTTCGGAACAAAAATGGGTAATACGATTCCCACTACGCCCCAGAGTGCAGTAAAAAATAATATTGGTAACAGCGATGCTCCCATTTTATTGAATTGTTTCTTTAGTAATTTAACAAATGGGTTGAGACCACCACGAAATCGACAGTATTGACAGAAATGTGAATCGTGTAAATACGAATCTCGATTTTTGTCAGTAATTCGATAGGTCGTACACATATCTCGACTAAACATGCTTCGAGATACAATACGATAAGATGCAATTATTCGATAATCGAAAGTGATCGAAGTAAGACTCGAGTGTACAAATTACAGCTACATTTATCGATACCAAAATTATTCAAATTTTAAAATAGATAGCGAAAAGTAATATTGATTTCTTTTCTTGTTGGAGGAATAAATTATTTCATAAACTGTTTTATAAGAAATATTGTAGGCCATTTTATTTTAACGATTTAAATGCAAATAACTATATTTCACATTTTTTGTTCCGAAGAGTACACTGAAATCGGAACTTGACAAAATAAGTCATTAAGTTCTTGCTACATCATAAAAACCCGACATGACATATATATATGCTTAATCTCCAAATAATTTCTTTTACGTTACTTCTGCAGCGTGATTAAGCCTTGAAACATCGCCGTAACTTTTTGACGTTTCAACGATCGATGGCCCGTCTCCTCCTCCGATCGAACATTGATCTATTTGACGAGTTGTTATTTCCGATTGAATTTCAATGGATTCAACCGATGGCTTTGTCATTCTTGTAATCGACATTTTACTTTTGTTCGACGCATCGTCGTGTGATTTGTCGGAATGGGATTTCGATATAGTCGTATTTAAAGTCGCGCAAGAAGTTACAAACTTTTCCAAAATATCTAAAAATTTCAACACATCGATTGGCCGGTCGCTATTCACAAAGTTGACGTGTTAATGCATTTACAATGCGTATGCAAATTACCTGTCAAGTTAATACTTTCTTCGGCCAAGCAAATATCATCTTGAGAACTGATACTGTCTCTGCTAAAAAGGTGTTGTCTAACATTGGACAAATTTCTGGTCTTTAGTTGGGCGGTTTTTGTTGATCGATCAAGGGAATCATTTCTATGGGGTGTTTTATACATGACAGAACGTTCTATTCGCATTTCACGACCCTTCTTGATGTACGGTATCAGACACGATAAATTTAACTCCGTCCTACAAACGCTGTTTGCAGTTTGTATGGATAATGGAGACTTGTAGTTGCTCACTAAAAAAATATAGGAAGATGTAATGAGCATGCGCAGCAATCGTATGCTAAGTTTATTACAAAACAAAGGTATTCACCTGTGTAGGGTGTTCGTATGGTCGTCGTAGGTTTCTGTCGTCGATCATAAGACGATACGCAAAGTGTAGACGTTAATCGATGTGTTATTCATGATGGCAATCAGAGCAGGATGCAATCTTTTTACGACAATTCGCATCGCTTGATTACTCGCAACTGTTGTGGTTCGGTGGCATTGTCCGTTAAGACTTTTCGATGCAGCGTCAGCCTCAAATATTGCTTGAAAGTACACGGAATTATTCGATTTCCGTACAAGGAACGAATCCAAAGAGATCCAGTTTGTAAACTTTTACCACCTTTTAACTCTCTGATTATCATTATTGCTTGCCGTTCGATTATATCGTTCCCAATATCATTTATAATTGTACTAATCGGACGAGACAACAATACGGATCTGGTCACAACGCTCTGTACCTGTGCTTGAGTTACTGGCACTCTAATATTGTGATACGTTCTTGAAGATCATCTAAAACTACCTAAATAATAATATGTAAAGCGACACTTTGTTCAAATTTCGTTCTATGCTTTGTTTCCGAGTGAACTATAAATCTTGCATCGATAATGATCCTATAGTAATATATACATGTATATGTATAAATACCTCACAATAGGCTGTCGAATCTATAACCAGATTGATCGCATCGTGTAACTTATTCATTTCCAATTTCCACTGAGCAGTCAGTAGTTTTACGTTTGCTCGCATCTCTCTGCTTTCTGGATGTAAGTAAAATGTAGTAATCGAAGAAATCAGTTCAGTCTCTAATGATTCAAGACTCGCTAAACAATTTCGAATCTAAAGGATCCCTAAAACAAATTAGTGCAGAACAAGGAATATTTTAATTTCAGATTTTCTTCCTTTTCAGTTAATGGTTTCCGCGTGTTTTTACACTTACGATTTCTATCTTTAGAAGAAGCAACAGCAAATAGACCGATTTGCATAGTCTTATCTATAATTTGATCGAAATCTTTCACTGCACCGGAAAAATCATTTTTGGATCGTTATTGCTTTGGTTTGTTTACAAGGTCCTTGTTGAACCAACTTTATGAAATGTAATCTATGCAGCTGAAATTCCAAAGACGAATTCTACGATAGCGACCGTGTGTTATTCTCTGCCAGAAGTGTTACCAAAGTGGCATGTAAAACCACTCATACCTATGCTGAAAGTGCATCTCTTTCCTTTTTAGCCCACTGAAGTGCCAGATCTAGATCTCTCTACTTCAGACAATCAAGTATATAATTTATTATATATATTATATATTTTTACCGTTCTGTGAACGGTTCTCCTGTTCCATTGTGTATTATGATTCCAGCTTCCTATAACAAAACTTAAATATGATTTTATGCATACAGCATATCCCAATGGTTGTGTAATTTTGTATATGGGTACCGCTGCTAATTCTACTGCAATATATAGCATTCCATGACGGTAGAAATGCTGACAAAGGACTTGATTCAACATGTGTGATTTCTCTGAACCAGAAAAAATGTCTTCTTTGCTGGTGCTTGCAAAATGTGCAATGAAATTCCTATCGATAGTTTTCCCAACTTTCGACACAGTACTATGTAGTTCCCGATGTTCGGTTGCCAAGTGATGTCTGGTCTCTTGGACCTTTTTCATCGTGTCTTTCAATACTTGTGCCTGACCTGGTGTTAACTCATGATCGGACGGTGCTGACAAAGAAGAAACGTCATCGCTATTAAATTGGAATATCATAATTCAAAAAGAATGATCTCTTCTACGATTAATTCTCCATTTAAGAATTCTCGCGAACTTGCTTCTTAAGAGATTTTAATTTACCGCCTCGATAAAAGAGGTTAGGAACGTATGAAGAGAAACAAGATAAAAGTATAAGCATGCATCAAAGTAGGTCGATTTTACAGTATCAATGCATCCTTAGATATTCGTACTAACATAATATTAAATGTTTCTCTGCGTACGTCGCGGTTATTATCGATATCAACATCTCAGCAGAGTTTGACTCTTCGCTCGACGAAATATCATTGATACATAGCGCGTTAGCCATTAATATTTTACCTTCTTCGAATTCTTTGTGGATGTAGAGGAAATTGATCTTGATGCGGAATGGCACCCAATAAGAGAACAAGGTACAGCAGAGGAAGAATATTCGGAGGAAGAAGAACTTTTGGATGAAGAGACGGATTGCGACGATCCAGTTGAATTATACAAACTATTCTTCACCGATGAGATATAGGAGATGGTTGTCGAAGAGACAAATAGATATGCAGTACAGCGCATATCCAATATAGCATCTGGCAGCAGAAGGCATCAACAAGCTTGGAAGCCTGTTACGAAACGCGAAATGAGTACTTTTATTGTTATTTTACTAATTATGGGTGTAGTGCGGTTACCGGAAATTAGACTTTATTGGTCAAAGAAGGAAATGTATGGGAATGCGCGCATAAAGAAAGCAATGAAACGCGATCGGTTTATGTCGATATTGAAATATTTACATTTCACTGATAATACGACTGATAGAATCGAGGATCGGTTATATAAAGTTCGAGACATTGTTGACAAAATTGTTCGCACTTCTCGAAATACCGTGAAACCCGGTAAAAATATAGTAATTGACGAAAGCATGGTTCCGTGGAGAGGACGCCTCAGTTTTCGGCAA